GCAACGCTTCACAAATCTCATGTCGTACTTGATGTACGGTTGATGACTTGATTATTTTAGTTAATATAATATGTTTGTGCTACAATATAAATACAAATACAATACAATACAAATAAAAATAAACGTTCTTAAAGAACTGCTGTAAGGTAAAATTTCACCGATTTTGCTTGAGGAATACTAAAGAATGAAATTTTACTGGCGGTAGGACCACTTGTGAATCCGCACGGATAGGTAACCCAACCCGGCCTCTTTCTGACACTGCTATAATGCATTTTGGTTTGAGGGATGAAACAGTCGTTGTACTGCTAAAACTGAGACCTTAGAACTCTTGTATCAAGGTAGGTGGCGGAAAACCAGGTGGGCCATTAGGTCGTACGCTCACCAAGCAAAAAAAAACTTCTCAGCTTCTAAACTTGTGTAGCTAAGTAGACAGAAGTAAAGAAAGCAGAATGTCTAACTACGAAAATAAAACGTCTTAAGAGATATAGTAATAGCAAACAAAAACCATTCAAATATAATGATAGACAAGAAAACCAGTGCTGCCAATTAAAAATCTGTCTATAAATCACGTTATTTTTTTAAGGTCAACGATGTTGGAATTGTTTTAAAACTAATTAAAATTAAAGCATACAGTAATTAAGAATAACTGCTCATTTTCATATTCATTCGAAGTAAATTGGTAACTCCGGTGGTTGAAATCCGACTGATTTGAATGCTAAAAGTTTTGCATTTTGACGTCCTCAACGTGTAAATCTCAATAATACCCGAACAGGAATTCGAACTATTAATAGGTACATATAAAGCATCTTTACATTTAACCAATGCAATCAATAACTATAAATAGGTTACAAATCCTGTGTCACAAGCAGGACGTTCAATCAATTTGATTGCTGGTAAGTGACGAGTCAGAACAGTGGCCGCTAGGGATGCATTATGTCTAGGGTACACACGAAATCGGACCTAGTGTCTTATGCATAGACTCCACTATAGTCTTGTCGGTTGCTGACAACTGAACCAGTACACCAGAACATCGTTTAATATTCTCATTTAACTTCACTAAAAACCTTATGCTTTTTTTCCTTAATTGAAAATAGTACGATATTTAAATTTTCGACCTTAAGATCGTGTTTTTATTTTGGAAATAGGATGAGGAAAAAGAACAAATTTGGAACGACCTTCGATGGCTTCAAGATAAGGATTCAAAAATAGGGAGAGTTTCCTTTGCCAGTTTACTTGATGTTTCATCGTGCGGTGTATTTGTAAAGTGAAGTGGACAAACGAGTTCACTGTCTACCTATTGTAAATTCACACGTCGAGTTTTTGTACAAAGGTCACAAAATATCTTTCGCCTCGTCCTTGAGACATTAGTCTAAATATCGGCATAAAATCTCGGCAATTACCTAATAGGGAACAGCACTGCCCCTGTAGGCTTACGTTACAATACAATAATTAATTAAATACGTATTATTATGGACTAGCCGTACTCGCCCGCTTCGCTGGGCATTTAAAATTAACATTATTATTTATTGTCATTATTATTAGGGAGTTCAACACTCATATAAATATTAGCATATCCATTAAGTACATGTATTTTCTACATGGATACCAAGTTTCAAGTCAATCGGAGGCATGATTCAGTAGTTATAACGGAACATTCGTAAAAACCAATGTAAATACCTTCTTAATATGGCTGCGGATAATAAAACCGATAGTCCACCTCGTGGTAGTAGTTACCGTAGTCTATGGGCAACGACAATGCATGTATGTATGTACGTCAGTTCTTAAAAATAAAGGCAGCAGAAGAAGAATGTAACTAGATATGTACATACTATTAAAATTGCTAACGGTATTTATGTGCTCTAGCTATATTTATGTGCCCTACCCGGAGCAAGAAGTCGCATCTTCTGATTAATGGCCGGGGTGGATGGATGCAGCCTGAAGCTTTGTATCTTAATGTATTTTCATTAATATTTCTAATTTTAACCGTTCATTATCATCTTATAACGGAATGTCGAGTGGACGAGATCACGGCCTTCCTGATGGTAATTTGATGCTAGTACCTTCAAACCATGAATCCCGCCATTCATATTGAGACATGAGGTCGAAATCTATTACATTCTCAACGGCTGTCCCACCTTGTAATCCGGAACCCATGAGTGCTCTTCAACAAAAGGTAGTGCTTTTGCGTGCGGTGTAATAACAAACCCTACCACTAGTAAAATCTGTCAGAGTTAGGTCGAGAAAAATCTTTGTTTTCTATACTCGAGTTCCAGTTATTAAAGCCTATTTTTTGTTCCTCCTTCGTTACCTTCACATTGTAAGAAATACAAACATTTAAAAGACTTCAATAAAAAAAAAACTTTCACTTTCACAACAATTGCTGAAAGAAGCTTTCATTTCATTTGAAAATATTACGAATAAAAAGTAAAGCTTTTCGAAATCGACGGATGGTACGCATGCGCACCTGCCATTGATTATTTGTCAACACCCTATTCCGCGAATTTGGCCATAAAAAATCAGACATTCATTAGGTTTCGACCGTTGTTTAGGCGTTGTTTACTTCTACAACTATCTACCGATTTGTTATATGCTAGAATATAAAAAAAACCGAACAAGGTTCCCATTTAATTTCTGTCGAGGGACGATGCGACTTTGACTCTGGGCTCTATTCGTCTCTCCCATCTTACTTGGTATGAAGAAAGCAATCACGACTTCTATCACTCTTGATACTTATTTTGTTACCTGTAAAGTATACTGCCTAGGTCTGTCACCTTTAAATAGACTGCCACACTGCCAATAATATTTAATGCAATTTAGACTTCCACGCTATGATGCCCATTATAGAGTAAATAAATAATAGTTTAAAAAAACTAACAAAATACACGCCTTTATAGAAAATCCAACTAAAAAATAGAAAATAAATGGTAATCAATTTTAATTTATTGAATGAAAGAAAATATTAACAAAACAAATAGTATAATAAAAAAACCCAACCAATAGGCAATGAAAATACTCCCTCATATAATAAAAATTAGCAGAACCTTTGATAGATATGATGTACATAGCAGGAAATTTTCACACGGTAACCTTATTTTTATTAATAAGTCCGGTAAATTAATCTTCTTTTAACTATTTTGATTTTTAAAGATTTTAGACTTTTGGATAATATTTTGTCACAGGAGCTCCAAGATAAATTAATGATGTTTTTGTTAGAGCGTACGTACGGTCATTCTTAATTATAATGTAGTATAATTTCCATTATTATTGCCATCAAACAATGATCGACTTTAGGTTAGGAACTGTAAGTTGTTACCGCTACTCGACACCGTATGGTCGTCGCAAAGATGATTAAAAATGTATTACGACCTACGACTTAGAACTATGGGTTTAGTGTATGTAGTTAAGCAAGACCAGTAATTTTCGGTTGTAGTTTGAAGCTCTGGTTCGGTGTTGGGTGGTGATGACTTGTAAAAAGGAGACGACGGGATCATCTCAAACACTTACTATACTAATTTACTAGCACTATGATAAAAAAAATTAAAGGATTTTGTGACCTGGTAACTAAGACCTTTAGGTCAGGGTTTATTTTTAATTGCTATTCTTATTTTTATGAAAAATTATAATATAAAGCGAAATGAGATGATATGGAATGGAATAATTTGGAGCCTCTGTGTTTGCGGAGGGACTTCGGTTCCCTCTGTATTTTATACCGTATGTTCCATGGGGAGTGCTCTGAGGAATTGTTCGAGATGATACCAGCATCTCGTTTTTACCATCGCACCGCCCGCCACCGGAGTAGAGTTCATCCATACTACCTGGAGCCACTGCGGTCATCCACAGTGCGTTTCCAGAGATCTTTTTTGCCACGTACCATCCGGCTATGGAATGAGCTCCCCTCCGCGGTGTTTCCCGAGCGCTATGACATGTCCTTCTTCAAACGAGGCTTGTGGAGAGTATTAAGCGGTAGGCAGCGGCTTGGCTCTGCCCCTGGCATTGCTGAAGTCCATGGGCGACGGTAACCACTCACCATCAGGTGGGCCGTATGCCCGTCTGCCTACAAAGGCAATAAAAAAAAAATATAATCTCAGTGAAATGGTGATCATTTATGGAAACTTTTTCACTGGACTTTTTGGAGGATCCCGGGAGGCTATGTCTAGCGGCTTTGTTTCATTTTCCCACATTTGTGTATTTTCATAGATATTAAACAGTTAATAAACCACTGCTATTACACATTTAAACCTGAAGAAACACTAAATAGACAAAATAAAACAAATCACACAACTTCACTCCTCGCGTTCCCGCCAAAAAGTCCAGTACTTTGATAAAAGTCAGTTAGTTAGTGCAGACTCAAAACGTCTTATAGATACATTATTAACATATCGGGGGGTGAAATGCTATTTTATTTAAGCGACATTTATCTTTGTATTTAAAGGTACGTTTTATTTGGTATTAAAACCAATAATTCGATGTTTTTAATTGAACTTCAGTTAAGGTTACCACATTAAAATAGGTGAACAAGTTTATTTGTTGTTATATTTTTTTTCAAAATGCTTAAACTTTAAATGGATCTCCTGTAAAGTTGCAAAAATGTCGCTTAAACCAAATAGCCTTTCATCTCTCGATTCGTAACATCTTTCTATTGCAATGCGAGCTCTAGTTATCTGGTATCGAAATGAGAATTACAGTTACGTGTGTGTTTAATATTTCATTTACGGTTTCTTATGCCGTTTAGACTGTTTCTGTATACCTTTAGATAGAAATTGCCGATAGAATTCAACGGTGATGCATTAAAACGACTAATACAGTCGATTGCGGTGAACTATGTTTTAAATCAAATAGTAAAATTGAATAAGTGATGAGCCCTTCAAAACTTAGGTTTTTGGCTTTAAATCTTTTGGTAAAAGTTGTAATATATGGCGGAGACAAGATCGCCCTAATTCCCTTACCATTGAAGTAACGTTCGTAATGTTATTTATAAAGAGTGCTTTTGTTGTTTTCAGAAATCGAGATCCGGTTCCAGTGTCACGTGCGTCGAGGTTCCCTAGACTTCAGAGAAGAGACGACATACGAGCTGATACAATTCAACGGACATTTCAGTACGTTTTTTCTTTTTTATATCAATTTTTTTTTTTAATTCCCTCGACGTGTGAACGAGCTCACACCCCACCTGATGTTAAGTGTTACCGGTGCCTATAAACATCTATAACGTAAATGCCGCCAGCCACCTTGAGATATGAGATCTAAGGTCTCAATATAGTTGCAACGGCTGCCCCACTCTTCAAACCGAAACGCATAACTGCCTCACGGCAGAAATAGGCAGGGTGATTGTACCTACCCGTGCGGACTCACAAGAGGTCCTATCACCAGTAATTAGCAAAATTATAATTTTGCGGGTTTGATTTTTATTACACGATGTTATTCCTTCACCGTGGAAGTCAATCGTGAACATTTGTTAAGTACGAACGATTCGAACAGAGTTACTTCGATAGATACGAATGCACCGAATGTCTTATCCTTTAGGCCACGACGACTTAAATACTTAAAATTCACAATTCAACGGCGAAGTTCCAATATTTTCGGTACGCGGACTGACGGGCTCACAATCTACCTGGCGCAGATTGGCTACCCGACCTCATGCACATCACAATCGCCACTCGCCCCGAAATACAGTCGAAGTGTGTGTGCCATCGTCAATATTACTCATTTCTTTATCGATAATAATTTATGTTACATAATATTACAACGCACACCGAACAGAGGCAAACTAGATACTTAACAGATAAAACCTAACGATTAAGTATTGCAACGAAAATCGCATACAATCTGTAAATGTACTCAGTTAATAACGAAAAAAAAAATATACTTTTTGGCAGGAACACGAGGAGTGAAGTTGTGTGATTTGTTTTATTTTGTCTAATTAATGTTTCTTCAAGTTTAGTTGTGTAATGGCGGTGGTTTATTAACTGCTTAGTATCTGTGAAAGTGCACAAATATGGGAAAATGAAACGAAACCGCTGAACGTAACTTTTGGGGATCCTCCAAAAAGTACACTGAAAAAGTCTCAATAAATGACCACCATTTTACTGAGATTATACTTCATCCCATATCATCTCATCTCATTTCATGCCATGTTTCATAATAATCAACTTCATTTCATTTCATAACATCATTTTTCATATTAAAAAGTTATCATTAAAATAAGACTTGACCTAAAGGTCTTAGTTACCAGGTCATAAAATCCCTTAAAAAAATAACGAAAAATACAAACAATTCAAATAATTATTGTAGTAATATTTTAATTAAATTGGTTTAGATTGATTGCGTATTTTAAAATAATATTATGTAATCAATATTTTGTCGACAGGGGCTAATATGGATCATAATGATAATGATGATTCGTCCGGATATCAACAAGATCCTGATTCAAGGTGAGATGAATTTAACTTTTATTTTTTTCCCAATTAAAACCTCTTTTCTTTTTTTTTTCTGGATATCGTTATCACTGACACGTCAATATGTTATGTGTTAAATTTTCTCTTAACTTAGTTAATTTAACTTGTTTTAGTAAATGTGAAAATAAATGTTTTGTTTAGTTGCTATCGACGTTGTTATGTGTAAAATGTTTTTTTTAAAATACTGAGTGTCCCGTAATGGGTTTATGAAGTCGAAACGTGGCTATAGTATCAGCAAAAACTAATTTATTATTTGTTTCAACTGTTCGATGACAACCCTGAATCTAAACAATTAAAGTAGGTACCTTTAGACCGTATATTGAGTTAATACGTCGGAACGAGATATATAAAAATAAATTCGTTCAATTCGCACGGGTAGGTACCACCACCCTGCCTGTTTCTCTCGTGAAGCAGTAATGCGTTTCGGTTTTTTTATTATTTATTTTTTATTGCTTAGATGGGTGGACGAGCTCATAGCCCACCTGGTGTTAGTTAAGTGGTTACTGGTTATTTACAACATAAACGCGCCACCCACCTAGAGATATAAGTTCTAAGGTCTTGATTTATGTTTTATACAAAGTACCTCAAATATTAGAAAAATACCTAGTCAGGTCATAAATTCTGTCACATGTTTAATGTAAAATAATTGAAACAAGTTTATTCATTATGTAACCATTCATATACCAAAATGAACTTAACAAAACATAGATTCTTATGACACTAAAGTTTATTCAAAATGACCTCCGTGATTTTGAATACAGGCCTTCAATCTGCGCGGCCAGTCGTCTATCGCAGCACGAACGAGGTCCATGTCAATATCGGCGGCTGCCTTAATCAAGGATGTCTTGAGTGACTCCAAATTGGGATGAGGCTTTGAGCACGCCTTTTCCTCCAAGTGTTGCCATATCTTGTAATCTAA